AGGCCACTCTGAGCTCCGCCCAAAGCTTCTCCTGTGCAGGTGAAAATCCCAAATCGTTCATCCCAGGGTGTGAGGCCGGTTCCAGGGATCGGCCGTGCCTGGGAGGAACCTGAGCCTGACAGACACAAGCCCCGGAATCCGGCCTGCCTTTTCAATAGCAATTTAATTATTGTGCTCTCGCTGACAGCGGGCTCTTGAGTGTCAAAAGTTTATAAATAAAAAGGGTGGGTTTTTTTTCTGCTGAATGAGAAGTGGAGATGGCCAATTTCCTGCATGTTTTTAATCCTGCAGATATCACAAACATCAGCTCTGGTATTTCTGAGACTTCCCTCTGGGTGACTCCTGTGAAGATGAGAAGCTTTTCCAGTCTCTGATTGAATGGGAAGGCATGCTGAGATTTTGGCAGAGCGCGTGTGTCTCCAGCACTTCCACGGAACAAGTGTTAACACAAACAAACCGGCGCTGGAAACGAGGAGAGCCCCGAGGGAATAACAGCCTCTGCCCCGCTCAGTGAGCTCGAGTTTCCTTCCCGGAGACCGCAGGTATCAAATGTGTTAATTGTGTTAATTGGGCAGGTGGAGCAGCACGGAAACCACGGGCTGGGCTCCGCCTGGAACTGCAAACAGCAAAATCCATCTGTACCCGATCGAGACGCAGCCAGAAGGAAACGGATGCAAAGAAAAAAGAAAGAAAACGGGGCAAAGGGGCCAGACCTGAACGCTGGAGTTTTTCTCTCCGTGACTGCCCCTCGCAGCCCTGATGAGCGGGCAGAGCTCCCCGAGCTGTCCGCTTTGTGCTCCTGAGGCTTTGGGGTGCGCGGGGTGACCCCGGGGATCCGCGGAGATCCCGGTCTGCGCCGGGGACTTGCAGAGGCTCTGGAGGCCAGATGGGAGGCAGGCAGCCCCGGCTTCCCGAGGCAGCGCCCAAACTGCTTTCAGCTGCGGGAGCTGCAGCCGCAGCCCGGCCTCGGTCCCTCGGATGCCTCGGATTCCTCCCGGCCGGGGTGTCCCTCGGGCCGGGGGGAATACGGGCAATAAACCCCTCCGGCAAGAACCCAATGGCATTCCGAGTGATTTCCAGCATGAAAGCTATCGTCTGGTTTTTATTAAGTTATCACTTCATCGTGTTCCCTGATTGCCTTCATTCACGCCTTAGTTGTCTACCGACGCTATTAAAAAAAAATAATACATATTCATAGCCCAGCAAATGGGCTCTGCTCCACATTTTAGTGTCAAAATCAAGTTCGGGTGAAGGGCTCCTCTGGGACCCCTCCCGGGATGCGCCGGCGAGGGGCGGCTGCGGTGCGGAGCCTGCCCGAGTCCGGGGAGGGGCGGCATTCATTTGTCATCTCCCGGCGGAGATCGTCCCCTTCTGCCTCGCAGCCCCTGACAGGCCGGCAGAGCAGCGCCGGGCGGCCCCGGCCCCGGTGCCGGTCCCGATCCCGGTGCCGATCCCGGTGCCGGTCCCGGTCCTGATCCCAGTCCTGATCCCGCTCCTGCTCCCGATCCCAAACCTGGTCCCAATCCCGATCCCGATCCCAGTCCCGATCCTGGTCCAGATCCCGGTCCCGATCCTGATCCCAGTCCCGATGCCAGTCCCGGTCCCGGTCCAGATCCCGATCCCGATCCCGATCCCGGTCCCGATCCCAGTCCCGATGCCAGTCCCGGTCCCGGTCCCGGTCCCGATCCCGGTCCCGATCCCGGTCCCGATCCCGGTCCCGGTCCCGGTCCCGATCCCGGTCCCGATGCCAGTCCCGGTCCCGGTCCAGATCCCGATCCCGATCCCGATCCCGGTCCTGATCCCAGTCCCGATGCCAGTCCCGGTCCCGGTCCCGGTCCCGATCCCGATCCCGATCCCGGTCCCGGTCCCGATCCCGATCCCGATCCCGATCCCGGTCCCGATCCCGATCCCAGTCCCGATCCCGGTCCCGATCCTGATCCCAGTCCCGATGCCAGTCCCGGTCCCGGTCCCGGTCCAGATCCCAATCCCGGTCCCGATCCCGCTCCCGGTCCCGGTCCCGATCCCGATCCCGATCCCGATCCCGGCCCCGCGGGCTGCGGCCGGGGCAGAGCTCGTGGCCGGACGGATGGACAGTGGTCACCAAGGACATTTCTCCCTTAGGGACTCAGATCCCGAGATTTCTGCTGCCGGCTCCGAGAGGGGCTTCCTCTCTGGAAGGGGGAGAGGAAAGAAAAAAAAAATAAGGGGGAAAAAAAAAAAAAAAAAAAAAAAAAAAAAAACCCAGAAAAAAAAAAAAACAAAGAAAAAAATGGAAAAAAAAGGAAAAGGAAAAGGAAAAGGAAAAGGAAAAGGAAAAGGAAAAGGAAAAGGAAAAGGAAAAGGAAAAGGAGCCAGTCCACTGCCCATTTCTCCCTCTGAGCCCCCAGGGTGATGCCAGAACGGCCTCAGGATGAAGTGGCTCCGAGCTCCGGCTGCCCCCCAGCATCCCCACCCACTCTCCATCCCCGGCCTCTGACCATCTCCCTGTCCATCCCTCTGTCCATCCCTCTGTTTGTCCCCTCTGTCCATCCCTGCTGTCCATCCCGCTGTCCATCCCTCTGTCCAGGCCAGGGCCGGAGGCTGTTCCCCCTTTCCCCGCTGTCCGTCCCACTGTCCATCCCTCTGTCCATCCCTCTGTCCGTCCCACTGTCCATCCCTCTGTTTGTCCCCTCTGTCCATCCCTCTGTCCGTCCCACTGTCCATCCCTCTGTCCATCCCTCTGTCCATTCCTCTGTCCAGGCCAGGGCCGGAGGCTGTTCCCCCTTTCCCCGCTGTCCATCCCGGCAGGAGGAGCCCGGCCGTGCCCCCGGACCCCTCTCCAGCCCCGGGGCTCCCGG